GACTGATGCAGGGCCATCTGCGATTCTCATCCAGGTGGAGAGACTTGTAAGGATGGATCTGCACACATGTGCTCATGCACATGCAAGGCACAGAGCTGCCATCAGGAACTGCGTCTGGGGGTGGGGAGGGGCATCGGGAGGTGCCTGAAATCCCAGGAATAAATGTCAGTCTTCCTGTCGCACACCCCCTCGGGCCAGGACCCTCAGGACATTCCCAGGGACAGAGGCAGGCAGACAGGCCCAAGGAGAGTCCAACAGAGGGAGTGGCCGTTCAGAAATGATGCTGAAAGGCTGACGGCTGCCAAGCTCCATCTGAGGGGATCCCAGTGGGACCCCGGGGACTCTGCGGGAGGCACCATCCTCTTGAGTTTGTCCCAAACCAGCCTAAACGGCAGGGTCGGGGCCAGGCCAGCCTGAGCCCAGTACGTGTAATGACCATCCTGACGAGCATTTTCTCCCATGCCAGCTCACGAGGCTGGCATCCCCAGGCAGCTGCCAGGCACCTGCTGCCGGAGAGAAAAGCCCCGTCATCCCAGCCTTTATGGAGAGACAGGCCGGCTCAGATTCCAGAGAGGCGTGCCAGGTCGGAGAATAGCCCCTTCCCCGGATGTGGGCTGACCGGCCGGTGGTATGTTCTGTCCTCCTGCCTGCGTGGCTCCATGCCGGCCTCTGTGTGAGGCTCGGCATCAGAAGCGTGTACTGGGATCCTAAGTGCGACCGACTGGGGACTGAGCTTGCCTCCAGTATTGTAGTTGTCACTCTCTCTCCTTGAGGGCCATCTGTCTGCCACTCACCCCCACAGGGAGTACCCCTCTCCCTGAAAACTCAGGGACCAGGTCACTTCTACACTGGAGGCCACGGGAGTTGTTGCAGGGACAGTACAGAGCAGGGAGGGCTTGCCCATGAGGAGAAGCCAGCTTAACAGAGGTAAGTGGGCCTCCCGTATCCTGTCCCAATCCATCACATTTATAGCCTTTTCTCCAGACAGGAGACAACGAGGAAATGACAAAAGCCAATAAGGCCGATAAATAAACGGTAATGGAATAATCAGCGTGTGCTGCCTGAGCCCGAGTCAGGAGCAGGGCCCAGCCTCTCCCTCCGGTCTCTGTCTTAGCTTCACCCACAGGCCCCAGGAGACAGTTAAAGTCACTCAACAGCCCCCATGAGGGTGCCCGGGTAGGTTTCCAGCTGCTCAGGGCAAAAGCCTTGACGTCATCCTTGCCACCTCTTTCTCTACACCCGCATCCAATCCAGCAGGAAATCCTATTGGCTCTGCCTTCAAAATATCTCCCAAGGCCAGTCACTTCTCAACACCTCTATGGCCACCACGCTGTTCTGAGCCACCACCAACTCTTTCCTGGATTCTTGCAATGCCCTCCTAAAGGTCCTTGTCCCTTACTGTTCTCGACGCAGCAGCCAGCAGGGTTCCGTGAAAATCCAGTCCGATCATGCTCGCCGGAAGCCCTCCAGTGGCCCCATCTCACTGGGAGTAAAAGCCTGAGTCCTTCTGCGGCCCCCCTTCCCACCACCGGTCTGAGCCCCTCTGCGGCCTGCCACTTGCTCCCTGTCAGCCACACTGACTCCTCGCTGGACCCTGAGCAGGCCGAGCAGGCCATGGCCTGGCACCTGAACACTGGCTGTTCCCTCTGCCTGGGATGCTCTTCCCCCAGGGATCATCCTGACTTGCCTCTTTCTTCTTCTAAGTCTTGGATGTCACTTTTGCAGTGAGGCGGTCCAGGGCCATTCAATTTTCTACCCTTTCCCAGCCCACCATTTTTATTTTTAAATCAGGTTTAGGAACGTCTCATTTACCTACAATAAAATTTACCCTCTCAAAGCACAGTTTGGTGGGTTTTAACCAACATGCTGGTAGTATAGCCATGCCCATAATCAAGAGATTAAACATTTCCATCACATCAAGAAGTTCTCTCATCTCCTATCCCCCTCTTCTGGCAACCACCAGTTGGTTTTCTGTTCCTATAGATTTGTCTTTCCTGGAGAGTTGGTGTAGACAGAATACTTGTGTGTAGCCCTTTGTGCCTAGCTGCTTTCTCTTAGCATAATGCATCTGAGATTCATCTTGTCATCTGTATCAGATATTACTGTTGTTGCTGTTCTTGTTTTAATTGTTGGATAGTATTCCATTATACTGATACACCACAGCTTGCCTTCCATGCAGTAGCTGAAGGACACCTGGGCCGTTTACAAATGTTTGGCATCATGAATGAAGCTGCTATGAAAATGTGTGTGCAGGTGTTTGTGGGCTATGTCTTTATGTCTGGCGTAGATACCTAGTACTTGAATTTCAGAGTAATATAAAGTAGTATATGTTTAAGAAATCATCCAAATATTTTCCAAAATGTCTCTGTTTTTCATCCAGCAGTGAGCATTCCAGTTGCTCTATCCCCATGCTGACATTTGGTATTGCCAGTCCTTTCATTTTTCCTTTAACTTTAGCCATTTGAGTGGGTGCACCTTGTCATTTTGATCTGCATTTCCCTGATGACCAGTGATGTTGAGCATCTCTTCGTGTGCTTATTGACCATTCTTAGATCTTCTTTGGTGAAATGTCTGCCACTGTTTCTCAAGAGCTCTCTACAATGCTCATATATTTACATCATCATGGGAAGGAGCAAGACTCCCTGTGGGTGTGACAACCTTCTGCTGCCCCACCAGGGGCTCACTGTATGATCTGAGGAAACTGATCTCACTGTTCTAGTCTCGGTGTCCTCTTGTGTAAAATGGGATAATAACAACACCTACCTCCTAGACAGTGTGAGGACTGTGTAAATCAAGACTTGTAAAGAATTTACAATAATCCTCGGCACATAGTAAGTACTGAATAAATGTCCAGTACGATGACAAGGGTGATGATTTCTAACCCTGTGTGACTTGTTCGTGGCAATCCCATAAGAGCCTGGTGACACCTTTCAGAGTCCCGTGCTTTCATCTGTAAATGCTTATGGGTGGGGGGCTGGTAGACAATCTTTAAGTCTGGTCCACAGTAGCATCCATTCTAGGACTGCTCTATTTACTGACACTCCTTTATAGGTCCCTTCCCCCTCCCAGGGCACCCCCAGCAGCCACCCACCTACAGGACACTAGAGTTACACACACACACACACACACACACACACACACACGGCAGCAGGAAGCTCGCCCCTAAGAATGGCCTAGCGCCCAGCTCCGTGGTCATTCATGAGAGGGGCTATGAGGAACTAGAAGGGGCAGGAGAAGAAGAGGTGGGAAGGGCAGGTGACACCAGGAGAGACCAACAGACGCTGGGAGGTTGGGGGAAAATGTGGCCTTGTAAGGCTCCGTCTCCTACCCCGCAGTGGCTGGGATGCTCTCCCCACTGTACCCGCCCTCCCCAGGTAGCTCCACAGCTCAGAAGGGCCAGGCCTCCAGCAGCCCCACCCTCCCCCACTGACTCCAGGGGCAAGCTGGACCCCCGAGGGAAGCGTCTCAAGTGTCTGAGCCCCTCCCTCGGAGGCTGTCAGTGGGGAAGAGGACAGGAATGTTGGAAAATCAATGCACACAGATCTGGGGCTGGTGCCAGGGTGCCACGGGGAGCGAGGAGGAGGTGATGAGAGAAGGGCACGGCAGCTCAGCAGGGCCCAGGCCACCGGCAGGGTAGCAGTAGGGGGTGGGGATGCGACAGGGGGAGCTGAAGGGATGAGGGGCTGGGAGAGCAGAAGGAGACATGGGGGCTGGAGGCCGGGAAGTTCTAGAAGACCAGGGCAGGGAGGAGGTCCCAAAGGGCAGGGGTGCAGGAGGGTAGGGAAGACAGAGCAAGGGGCAGGGGCTAGGTGGAGCGGATGAACTCCTGCCTTCCCATCCCCCCAGCCCTTCACTCCCACTAAGCACACTCTTCATGCTCATTGTCACCTCCTCGATTGTGGGCAGCCCTGCCCAGCCACGGCCCCCTCCAGGACTCTCTTGGCACCCTGGCCACCAGGGCCCTTCTCCCCATGAGGCCAGCCACCATCCCAGTGCTGCCCTCACTGCCCACCTGCTGCAAGGCCTCGGCCACAGGGCTCCCCCGAAGCCAGTTTCCCTGCTCCTGCACGCCAGCTGAAGACCACCCAGCCCCAAGGACAGGCTCACTATGAAGTCATGCATCTGTCCTCTGCCAGCCCTGCCTGCCACTTGACCAGGGACCTGTTCTCCTGTGGAGACTATGATGTCTGAAGGAGAAATAAATGCAGAGGAGGGGCAAACAGGAGACTCCAAAGCCAGAGGGTCCGCTCCCTTCACTCACTCCACCAGGGAAGGTCAGCCCACCCATGGGACCAGTGGGGGCAGGAAGCATCGTCTGTCCATTCTCCACGTAGCAAACACGTATGGAACATCTTGAGTTACGACAATGAACAAAACCAGACAAGGTTCCTGCCCTCATGCAGCTCGTGGTCAAGTTAGAGAGACAGATATTAACTTCTAAATCCACAGACAAGAGCTGTTTATAGTCACAAAACCATGGAGGTGTGTACAAAGTGCAACGAGGAAGAACATGGGGTCGAGGGGGCAGGGGAGGAAGACCTCTGATGAAGACTTGGCACTTGTTTTTTTTTGAGTTGGAGTCTCACTCCGTCGCCCAGACTGGAGTGCAGTGGCCGCTCCCGGCCACCGCAGCCTCGACCTGCTGGGCTCTGGCGATCCTTCCGCCTCAGCCTTCCAAGTAGCTGGAACTACAGGCGCGCACTACCACGCCTGGTTAATTTTTGATTTATTGTAGCGATGAGGTCTCACCAAGTTGCCCAGGCGGGTCTCAAACCCGCGGGCTCAGGCAATCCACTCACCTCAGCCTCCCAAGGCACGGGATTACAGGCTGAGCCACCGAGCCCGGCTGACTTGGCACTTGTTGAACTGTGGTGGGCATTTCCAGGTGGACAGCAGAGTAGGTGCTGAGATCCTGAGGTGGAAGTGGTCCAGAAGGGAAGATGGTCCACAGGGCTGGGCCCGGAAAGTGAGAGGAGTCAGGACGAGACTCTGAGGCACTGTGGAGCTGCTGGAGAGCTTTATTGTAACATATATATGGAAGGATAAACTGAGGCAAGGCAGGCCAGTGTCTCGGGAATGAAACAAAGATTTGCAAAAACGAAGGAAACAAAGTTTATTACCCACTTTCCACAGACAGGGGTTAACGCTCACAGGCAAGCGTGGCATACGCTTTAAGGAGAGAGGGCTTTTCAAGTTTTTATAAAGAACCAGGGCTAGTAAAAATCTTCAGCAACCACATTCTTGGGTGCGGATTTCACCTTACACCGGTTTTTCTTCCTTTGCCGTTGTCAAGGCAATTGGTCTTGTGATTCCAGGTGGTGGGCTGGTGGGCAGTCACAGGGGAGGACAAGCTGATCACAATAGTGAGATTGGCTTGGTCATGCATTGCTGGGAAACAAATATTTCAAATAAAGAAGTAATTAGTACAAAATATATCTAAAAGGTGCAAAACAAGCATCAACAGTTATCTCCAGTGAGTCGCGTTTGTCCTTGGCTAATGACTAGAGGGTAGATGTGTGTGGAGCACAAAAAGTAACCAGCAAAGAATAACTAGCATGAAGTAAAACGAAAAGCTCAGGTAAAAATGGCTGCTCCTTAGACTCCACGTTGACTCTTTACCCTTTCAAATACTTCCTATTACTTGGGGGGAGAGTGGTGGTTGCTAACCAGGTTTGTGCTTTAGAAAGACCCCGTTTCCTCATTTCCTGCTCTGTGGGACAAGGATGAATGAGCCAGGGGGTCTCTACAGGGAGAGATGACAGTGGCTTGCACCAGGATGGGGACAGTGGAGAGTGAGAAACGGTGAAAGGAGGGCCCCGAGAAACTTAGAATAAACTTAGCTCACATTTTGCCTCAGCATAGCCATTTTCTGCTTAGACTGACACGCTCTGAATCTAGCACAGGTTAGACATGGATAGATACATTTCCAATAGGCAGGTTTTAGGAAGCATTCAGACATTTTACTGCAGGCCAAGTGGGCAGCCTATCCCACCCCCTCAGCAAATCTCCATCAGATGTAAGACAAGTACAGCCCAATCTTTCAATTCGTGGTTTAACATAATTTCTAAGAAAACTTTCTGGTTCCTTGTGGAAGGGGGAAGGTCCAAGATCACACCTTAGCTGGCCAAAGCCATAGAAATGATGATAAGACTACCTTTTTGCTAAGGAGTTTGTGGATTGGAAACCTCTTGCAGGAAAAACACCTCCCCTTGTCTCCTCCCACCTAGCCCACCACCATGGCAGCAATCGTGACTAACCCACCCATCTGCCTTCTATCCATATTGGATGTCAGTACCTATACTTACCTGCTCCTTTGTAATAACATGGAGCAGACCAACACTCAATTACTTTAATGACCTTCCCCCATCAAAGGGAAGGATTAAAAGGACTCAACCATGAGCAACCAGCCGCCATTGCCTTGCTAAGCTATGTTGTGCCCATGTGTCCTTTGAGCTATGGCCAGGCCGTGTTTCCTGGCTTTGGCCCCCTCCCCTACCTTGGGGAGGTGAATCTCCTCTTTCTCTTTCTTTCCCTAACTTAGTTTTAAATAAACTCTACTTTCCAGTTTAACTCTGATGCAATTCTTTGCATCTTTCTCACTGCACCAGATCGCACACCAAACACCCACACCCCCAGCAGGCCTGACCTAACATTCTGGAGGCCCTGCTGGGAGTGGGACCTAACACTTGGGAGCTACTTAGGATGCAAAATCGGTAGACAGAGTACCCAACAGAGGGAGAGGCAGCTCCTCTAATCTCTGGCTAGGACAGGGGGAAGGTGCCACACGAAGCCTCTTCAGGTCACCTTCAGGCAGGCCCCCGGGTTTCCTACCTCTGCCCCACTGAGCACTTGGCAAGCAGAATGGATGCCCATCAGGGCTTATTCCGCCTAAGAATCAATTCAAGGTCCCATCCCACCTGGGCCCCACCTCCTACAGCTACCAGGAGCAGTCTGAGCTGTAAAATGAGCTTGTTCGCAGCACCTGCCTGAGGCTGCGCAGGGCATCACTGTCCTGGGGAAGACGCTGGCTTCTCTGGTAGCTGTGAATGCAGCTGTATGAACTGTCCCCTGAGCACAGAGCAGAGTTGGCCTCAACCCATTTTTAGGTTTTCTATTAACCAATCAAAAATTTGTAAGATATATCCAGTCCCTCTCTCTCGAGGGGCTTTCACCTTCTCTTGAATTTAAAAAAAAAAACCAAAAAGGGATTGGGGTCTGGCCGGCACTGCCTCGTCACTGTTGAGGACATTCACAGTGTCCTCACAGGGAAAATACCACTCCTCAAAGTCAAGTGGAGTTCGGGGGCCCCCCGCTTCGACTCATCTCTAGGTGACACTCCTTGTGGACAACGACAGTCCCCAGCCAAGAGATCAGGCACAATCTCAGCATGGCGGAGTCTCCAGAACTCCCACAGTTAGCCTCACACTGTGCAAAAGTCGCCTTCCTCCGTGAAACACGTGGGCCCCTGTAAGCCTCAGTCACCGCCCTAGACTTACATTTTTCTCAAGATCATCTTTTTTCAGAAGCCCTATGGGCCTAAGGCCTTTCCTGTGGCCACCACACTCCACCTCAGTAGATCTTGTTTTTTGTTCTTTTGAGAAAGTAGGTTTTATTGAGGGCAGAGAAGCTCCCACAGTGGGATGGGACCCAAAGGGGTTGCCCCTCAGCATATCTTCTTCGCTTCAGATCCCAGCAAGCAATCGTTAAATAGTGTTTTGTTTTCTTCCCTCCCAGAGGCTCTGGGCTCTTCAGGTCAACTGATGCATCAGCTGGGAGATCAGCTGGGAGAGGAAGATTTGGATCTAGTCTCAAAACAGTTCACTAATGCCAAGAGGGGGACCAAAGCACCCACTCACCCTCTATTTGCATAACGAAGAAAGCCATTCAAACGGCCTTCCCTGGACTCCAGTTATATCCGTTTTAAACTGTCCCTATGATCTGTGGACACAGAGAGTGGGCTGTACCAGGCACCTAAATCCTTCTGGCTGGCCCCCGGAGCCTTGAAGAGGCTTATTTGGAGAACAGATCTCCGACAGTATCCCATACATCCCATCCCCAGCCTCCACACAGGCTTTGGTCTAAGTGCTTTTCAAGCAAGAAAAAGGAACACTTCCAGGTGGAAATCTTCCAAATGTGTCTTCCCCAATCACCTTGTCACCAGACTGTTCCAAGCAAAAACTTTCTTGTAAATTATCTTTGCCTTTGACTGTTCACACACAAAGGTCACATAGTTGTCTGCCTCTGATATCACACACAGAGCTGGAGAAACGATTTCAGAGGTTCCCACAGCTGGAATCTCCAGAGGAATTCTGCCCAAGAAAGGGGAGATGAGGTCATGATGAAGAGGGAAAGGAAAGAAAGAGGTGGGAAAGAGTCAGAGAGCTAAAGAGGGAGAAAGGAGTCTCTATCTAGGTCATCTCGCTTCTTTTTCCTGCTTCCTTTCCTAGGCTACATTTTCTTCAGTGGTGCCCTCACCACAACATCCAAGTGAGCAGATAGTAACAATAGTCAACTAGAAGCAATAACATACCAGAACCAATCAGCACATCCAGCACCAAAGTCTTGGTTTCCCAATGTTACTCACTAAAAGGAACCAGGGCCCCTTGGTGAAATGACTGATTCAGGACAAGAGCAGGGAAAATGCCAGATGACCTTGAAACACCTTGAGCCAGAAAGCACAAAAGTGCTCAAAGAATAATGAAGGTACATGTCAAAGACACAGGAGCCGGTTTGAATAGCCCAACTAATAAGTTTAGAAGGAATGATGGAGCAGAAAACCATCAGTGGGTGAAAACTAGTGGGTAAAAGTTTGATGGGGAATAGAATCTCAGAGTATCTTGCCACAATTACTTATTAATTACAGAGAGAAACTAATTCTACAGTGGGGGGATTTGGCAGACACCACTTAAACCAAGTGATCAAAGATAGTATCTCTAACACATGGAAAAAACTGACATCGTGTGCCTCCTGATGTGAGACTCTGAGAAAGACACATATCACCTCCATAGTAACTATGCCAAAAATGCATAACCAGAAACTAATAATGAGGAACCATAAAACAATTTGAGGGGCATCATTCTACAAAATAACTGGTCTACACTCTTCAAAAATGTCAAGTTCAAAAAACACAAAGAATTGCTAAGAAACTCTTCCAGATTAAAGGAGGCTAAAAGAACATGAAAACTGAATGCAATGGATGACCCTGGAACAGGAAAAAAAAGACACAAAAGAGATAGAGACAACTGGTAAAATGTGAATATAGACTGTGGATTAGACAATAGTATTAAATCAATGTTATACTTATTTTTTTATTTTATTTTTATTTTTTTTGAGTTGGAGTCTCACTCTGTTGCCCAGACTGGAGTGCAGTGGCCGCTCCTGGCCACCGCAGCCTCGCCTTCTGGGCTCCGGCAATCCTTCCACCTCAGCCTTCCGCGTAGCCGGAATTACAGGCACATGCTACCACGCCAGGCTGATTTTTTGATTTATTGTAGAGATGAGGTCTCGCTGCCCAGGCGGGTCTCGAACCCGTGGGCTCAATTCACTCACCTCAGCCTCCCAAAGGTGCAGGATTACAGGCTGAGCCACCGAACCCAGCTAATGTTAGACTTTTTAACTGTGATAACTGCACTGTGGTTTTATAAGAGAATATGCTTGTCCTTACCAACACATTGAAGTATTTAGGAATAAAAGGCATAATGTCTTCAACTTGTTCTCAGGTGATAAAAAAAATAAGTGTGTGCAAGTGTATATGCATATATATACTATAGTATATATAATATTGAGTATATTATAAACACACACACACGAGTAAAGAGAGAATTTAATAAAAATAAATGAACAAAATCTAAAAAATTGTTGAATCTGCATAAAGGACATAGAATTTCCTGCAACTTTTCTGCATTCTAAGTTTGAAATTACACTAGAATATGCAAAAATATTAATAATGGCCAGCAGTTACATGGTGCTTACTCTGTTCCACGCTCTGTTTAAAACACTTTACAGCTGGGCGCAGTGGCTCACGCCTATAATCCCAGCACTTTGAGAGGCCGAGGTGAGAGGATTGCCTGAGCCCAGGAGTTTGAGACCAGACTGGACAACTTGGCAAGACCTTGTCTCTACAATAAATAAAAAAACTAGCCAGGTGTGGTAGCACGTGCCTGCAGTCCCAGCTACTTGGAAGGTTGAGGCAGAAGGATTGCCTGAACCCAGCAGGTCAAGGCAGCAGTAGCCCTGACTGTGCCACTGCACTCCAGCCGGCAACAGAGAGAGACTCTGACTAAAAACAAAAACAAAAACTCACTTTACATGTTTTAACTCATTTGAAGCTTACAACCATTTCACAAAGTACATGGCACTATCTATCATCAATGTTATCTTCGTTTTAC